CACACAGGCATATTCACAGACAGGTATATTCACTGACAAGCAGACATAAACACACAAACATACAGACACATAGACATACCGATGGACAGAGAGAAACAGTAATAAGGAGAACATGAATCAGAGACGACACTAAAAAGCCCCAGAGATAAAAAGATAAACAAGATGTTCTACAAATCACCAGATGAGGACACATGCAGAAGAACATAAGATTCATAGAAAGATGCTGGAAGCCTAGCTGGAAGACTTTCCCAAACAGGAACTATATTGTTGGATCAAACGTCTCACAGGTATTTAGGTCGAAATAATAGACACTGGACGAAGAACAGACGGTAATGAAAGAAGAAGAAAAGGCAAGGAAGTAGGAAGAGGGAAGTAGAAATAGCCTAAGCTACTCTATCCCATTGAGATGTATTTCTTTCTTGTCTCAATAAACATACTTGAACTTGAACTTGAAGAAGGAAGAAGCTCCAATAACGTAGAAAAAGAAAAGTGAGGGATGATAAAAAGAGTAAGAGACATCAAGGCGGACTAAGCGGAAACAAGGAATTGGAAAGAAATGGAGTAGAAGTTGTAAGAAGGAAGAAAAAGAAAGGAATGATCCAGGGCCGGTTTAAGGTACCGGCAGCTAGGGAAGTCGCCCGGAGCTCCACTCCAATCGATTCCTTCTCCATATTGGTCTCTAAATGCACAATAGATTTGATGAGTTAGCCAAACCATTTGCCCGTAAAGAGGAGGAAATTGATTACCTTCTCAGATTACCTTTGAACAACCTGAGAGGGGCAGCAATATTTCGGGAACAACAACAAAATCTAATAGACTATTGGCAAAGTGAGATTCACAGCAGTTACTGTGAATGAATGTGTTACTGTAACTCCATCTATCATCATTCTGTTATGCAGGAAGAACAGCACTTCTGTGTATCATCTAATAAGGTTAGGAGACCTCTAGATGTCACCACTGCTAGGCTTAGTCTAAGCTACAGCTACCTCTGGGAGTTTGCATCACCTGCTGATGTAGACTTGACTAAATGTAAACTGTTAGAAGAATTATTCACATTATTTGCGTCATTATACTATTGAATTCGGAAAAGTCGTGGAATTCAGAGTTGTGTTCAAGAAATGTGTAAAGTACTTCACCTATGACGATGTACTACCAGAAATCTTAGACATGTATCCAAAGTTTGTTTACTGTAGATCAGCACACGGCTGTAAAGCTGCCGTCCAGTTGGGTGGGTTTGGAGCAAAATTAGTAACTGTTTAACAGACTAACCGTATATGTAAACTGCCTGTATAGTGACTGTTGTTGCCCACTTCTTGAATCACTTGTGATATAAAAAAGACTGTTGAAATGTGTACGTGTATTAAAAAAATATGTGTAACTAGTTTCACAAAAAATCTTTACTTGCTTAGCTAAATCAACTATGGAGTTCAGTTCCTGAATCTATTATGTGCCACTGTAACCCTTTCCTTCACCGCCCATAAGATGTGTATGGGGTGCATAATAAATGTGCAAACGAACTATATAGATTACTAACAGGCGCCACATCTTGTGTTTGGGGTCTTCTAAAAAAAAAAATATGAAAATAATTAATAAATTAAATAAAGAGCCAAAATGCTAAAATTTCTTGAGTGGAGTCAAATTTGTGAGAATCTGATGATTAATTCTTGTTTCTGTTGTGGTAACCAAATTGTTACCACAATTTGGTTTCCTTCACAAAGGAAGTCTCCACTACTGTCAGCTGTTACACGTCACCTAAATTAGGTGAAAACTACAATGTGTTTGACTATTGTCTTTAGCTTATATAATTTAATATAAACTCTATTCCTTCAGTTGCCGTTTTTCCTCCTTGTGAAAATTAAAAACAAAAAATTACATTGTAAGGGGGCGAAGTTCATCTTGCCAGGGGGAGCCAGCAACTGTAAGGCCAGCCCTGGAATGAGGAAAATATCGCAGTGGTGGAGGAAGAATCGTCATTTTATACGATGTTGTTATATAACAGTCCTCCACACTCACCCCCCCCCCTTCCCTCGTCCTCTCCCCTCCCGCTTCCCCCCCCCCTCCCCTTCCCAAACTACACACTCTCATGGCCTTAGTTTCCCCTTCCCTCCCCCCACCACCAATTAGCCTTTCTTACCTTTCAGAAAATAAAATATAATAAAAAATTAAACTATTTTTTTTACGATTTTTTTTTATTAATACAGGAGGTACATCTGCATTAATGCAGCTACCCTAGACTATATGAAGTGGAGTACAGTGTGTCAAAAAAGCTAACTACGTGATGCTAAAAAATTCCCATCACACTGGATGGTTAGTCATACAGAGGCATGTGATAGGCAGACTGCACTGACAGACTCCGGATGCAGTGCAGTCTGCCGGATATTTTGAGGATATCATCAACACAAGAGTGAATAAGGTAGCAGTGGTAATAAAAGTCCCCATCTCGCAGGATGGTTAGTCATACAGGGCCATATGTTTAGTAGCCGGCACTGGCAAATTTTGGATACACTGTGAGGGTATCTTCAAGAATACGAGAGTGAATAAAGTAATTGCAAAGCTCCAGGTACCTCATGCCAACTGGTCTGAAAGGTCTAATAACTGGGCATTCAGTGATGAAGTGTGGGAGATCATGCCGTAGTTCCTGCTCACAGAGTTTGCAACTGGAGTGCTGTACTTTCAGGATTATTTATGATGACGAAATAGTCTTAGGACATCAGAACGAGTATTTCACATTTGACCAGAATTGGATCTGCGAGAACCTGGAAGTTTGTCAATAATTAATACTATATCTTAAATCTTTTAATTTAGGCCTCCCGCAACCAGTCTATGTTCGTTCCGCACCCTAGACCATTTTCCTGACAAATTTAGGTAAGACAAGCTCCAAGGGTGGGGTCTTCAACTTTGAACAGACGAATAGACGAACAGACAGACAGACAGACAGACAGACAGACATACATCCTCTTTTCTAATTATAATTTATTTAACACTAAATGAAAATCTCCCATCAAGCACATGTTTCCCGACGACTGAAAACATCAGATGCCGCCGGTGAAGCGAGGTTCAGTATCGGATTTACCTCTCACAAACTTCCCTTTAGTGTTTGAGTTCGAGCATAAAGACTGATCGAGGCGGATTTATGCCGGTTTGGGCTTTTTGAAAAATTGAATGTTGCGAAAAGCTACACGATGGGAGGCGAAAAACCTGCCGAAGCAACCATGTCTGTATTTAATGCATTGAGTGATTTACCTCTGGCATAAGACGGCACTGTCGAGATTCAGGTAGTTTTACGAAGACAGTTCATGCTGCTTAACGATCCAGGTGATTGAGGCGACGTCAAGAATCACCTTCAATTGCGAATCAAAGCGTAATTTATTTACCACGGTTTAGCGCATAATATGACGGTGCCGTCGCAGGTATCGTCAGGATAACTATTTGCAACGATGCGATAATAAAGAATATTGCAGAATAATTATATATTGCACAGGAGAGAAAAAATATATATCGCCCGTTGCACCGTGGCTTATTTTCTCATTTGGTAACCAGCTGCGAAGGGCGCTACTTGTACGTCGAAACGAGCGAAATGAAACGAAAACGATCGGTTATAAAAGTTAGATTTGATTGGAATATATTATCCTCACGACGACAGGCATTGTGGAAAATTTTAATTGGAAATACTTCCCAGGAAATTCAGGCTACACAAACTGGGTAAAATATGAAGGATTCTTATAGACATTTATTGCCCTATAGCTGGCATTGCCTGCATCCTGTTCATTCTGTCCAGTCTTTCTTGGTCCTGTTCATTCTGTCCAGTCTTTCTTGGTCCTGTTCATTCTGTCCAGTCTTTCTTGGTCCTGTTCATTCTGTCCAGTCTTTCTTGGTCCTGTTCATTCTGTCCAGTCTTTCTTGGTCCTGTTCATTCTGTCCAGTCTTTCTTGGTCCTGTTCATTCTGTCCAGTCTTCCTGGGTCCTGTTCATTCTGTCCAGTCTTTCTTGGCCCTGTTCATTCTGTCCAGTCTTCCTGGGTCCTGTTCATTCTGTCCAGTCTTTCTTGGTCCTGTTCATTCTGTCCAGTCTTCCTGGGTCCTGTTCATTCTGTCCAGTCTTTCTTGGTCCTGTTCATTCTGTCCATTCTTCCTGGGTCCTGTTCATTCTGTCCAGTCTTTCTTGGTCCTGTTCATTCTGTCCAGTCTTTCTTGGTCCTGTTCATTCTGTCCAGTCTTTCTTGGTCCTGTTCATTCTGTCCAGTCTTTCTTGGTCCTGTTCATTCTGTCCAGTCTTTCTTGGTCCTGTTCATTCTGTCCAGTCTTTCTTGGTCCTGTTCATTCTGTCCAGTCTTCCTGGGTCCTGTTCATTCTGTCCAGTCTTTCTTGGTCCTGTTCATTCTGTCCAGTCTTCCTGGGTTCTGCTCATTCTGTCAGGTCTTCCTGGGTCCTGTTCATTCTGTCCAGTCTTTCTTGGTCCTGTTCATTCTGTCCAGTCTTTCTTGGTCCTGTTCATTCTGTCCAGTCTTTCTTGGTCCTGCTCATTCTGCCCAGTCTTTCTTGGTCCTGTTCATTCTGTCCAGTCTTCTTGGGTCCTGTTCATTCTGTCCAGTCTTCCTGGGTCCTGTTCATTCTGTCCAGTCTTCTTGGGTCCTGTTCATTCTGTCCAGTCTTCTTGGGTCCTGTTCATTCTGTCCAGTCTTCTTGGGTCCTGTTCATTCTGTCCAGTCTTCCTGGGTCCTGCTCATTCTGTCCATATTGAACAATAAATAATCTCCTGGATATGGTTACCATTAATTTCTTGGGTAGAGTTAATATTTCTGAATTACCTGTATAGAGTAAACATTTAGTAATTAACCGGGTATAACGAGCATTTATTAATGACCTGGGTATAGCGAATGATCAATAATTGCTAGAGAACATTGTTTAACCTTTCAACTAATTATATTACATAGTAACGGAAGCTCAACATCAGATATATAAATAATTGTAAATAACAACATTTAATTTCAGGTTCTAAAGTTAATTGAAGGAAAACGCAGAAATTGTTGGTGTCCCAACAAGATGAAGTTTACGCTGTGTTTGGTGACAACTACGATGAGTTGTGGCAGCACTATCTACCCCCGTGGCAGGACTATCTACGCCCGTGGCAGCACTATCTACGCCCGTGGCAGCACTATCTACGCTCGTGGCAGCACTATCTACGCCCGTGGTAGCACTATCTACGCCCGTGGCAGTACTATCTACGCCCGTGGTAGCACTATCTACGCTCGTGGCAGCACTATCTACGCCCGTGGCAGCACTATCTACGCCTGTGGCAGCACTATCTACTCCCGTGGCAGCACTATCTACGCCCGTGGCAGCACTATCTACTTCCGTGGCAGCACTATCTACGCCCGTGGCAGCACTATCTACGCCCGTGGCAGCACTATCTACGCCCGTGGCAGCACTATCTACGCCCGTGGCAGCACTATCTACGCCCGAGGCAGCACTATCTACGCCCGTGGCAGCACTATCTACGCCCGTGGCAGCACTATCTACGCCCGTGGCAGCACTATCTACTCCCGTGGCAGCACTATCTACGCCCGTGGCAGCACTATCTACTCCCGTGACAGCACTATCTACGCCCGTGGCAGCACTATCTACTCCCGTGGCAGCACTATCTACGCCCGTGGCAGCACTATCTACTTCCGTGGCAGCACTATCTACGCCCGTGGCAGCACTATCTACTCCCGTGGCAGCACTATCTACGCCCGTGGCAGCACTATCTACGCCCGTGGCAGCACTATCTACGCCCGTGGCAGCACTATCTACGCCCGTGGCAGCACTATCTACGCCCGTGGCAGCACTATCTACGCCCGTGGCAGCACTATCTACGCCCGTGGCAGCACTATCTACGCCCGAGGCAGCACTATCTACTCCCGTGGCAGCACTATCTACTCCCGTGGCAGCACTATCTACTTCCGTGGCAGCACTATCTACGCCCGTGGCAGCACTATCTACGCCCGTGGCAGCACTATCTATGCCCGTGGCAGCACTATCTATGCCCGTGGCAGCACTATCTACGCCCGTGGCAGCACTATCTATGCCCGTGGCAGTTGTAGTCGTCTCCACAGCTAAGAATCTTTGTACTGTAATTGACTGACATTTGTTGCAACAGATTTGATGTGCTTCAATTACCTCTCAAATAAAAATGACTTAGTAAATAATTATAATTATGGTTATTTTTGTGTGTGATGAATAATTGTTTTTGGAAGGTACCAATAACTTTAAGGAAACACATTTCCCAACAATATCTTTCTGAAGTCTCAGTTTTCTCTTACTCTGTGGCGGTATTTTTTCAGATTAGTAATAACATTTGTTGTTTAGCTGTAGCACGAAGGAGGGCTGCGAGAGGGTCCTGCTGGTGGATGTACTACACATTTAACGAGGAAAGAATTAGAAAATATGCTCCAGGGCTTTACTAATACCAGTGTCGTGAAATTGTTCAGCATATTTCATTTTACTGTTTTTTTTCCCCGGTAGTGAAGCTGGAATGGGTATTGGGTGGTGGTAAGCAGAGAAAGAGAGAGACACGGGGGCATGGCATTATATATTGCATGTTGTATGCCGAGTGATGTGCAGGACGTTCGCCAGACAACCTATTCTCTCGAGTTGTAACCTACAAACTCCACCGTCCTAAGCTTACCAGAAACACACGACCCATCCCACCCACCTCACCATAGAACCCGTTGATTTTGGCGAGTCGCTACTTTGTACAGTATATAGCATTTGTTGACGAAGCACATACACTAGAAAGTGAAGGGACGACGACATTTCGGTCCGTCCTGGACCATTCTCAAGTCGGTTGTGAGAATTCGGTCCAGGACGGACCGAAATGTTGTCGTCCCTTCACTTGCTAGTGTGTGGTTTGGTCAACATATTTCAGCCACGTTATTGTCACTCCTCGTCTGCAAGTGGCATTTGTTACGTTGGTTAATATAACGTTTCATATCGTCGTATTAGTGGGGAGGACAGGCTGCTCCATAACACCACTGGTAGCTATGTAACCATCAGGTTTGATAAGTAGAGTAAAAAAAAGAGTCATCAGGTGTTAGTTTTTTACAGCTCTTTTAATATGCGCCACTACCAAGCTTTACTATTCACCAGATAACGTGGTAAATGTTCCTATATTCCTCGTACCACCTGCTAATTGGCAAATTTTGAACTTGTCTCGTGGGGTTCCTCGAGCTGTCTTTTCGAATCATGACTCTGTGGGCTGGTTCTCTGTCATAGAGACTCCACCCTCTAGAATTTTCCTAAAAATTTTAGTATTAAGACGCAGCCTGAAAAGCTACGTATTGACGTTGTGAGATTACCATACTATCCTTAATATATTTAATGAGCTATGCAGTCTCTGTCAATCTCCTAAGAATCAGAGCCAGGTGGTGCTTGATGCTGTGGTGTGCTATTCACAGTTAGATTGTTCCATTAACCAGCAGAGCTCAACGAACAAGTAAACGCCTATTTTTTTTATTTGTTTGCCAAATCTACGATTCCCGAGTCAAGTGTTGATAATATGAGACGGGGCATCAACTTTTGACCAGGACATTAGAATTAATCCAATTCTTGCCCCACCCAGGATTGGTACACGTCTCCCACAAAGGTTACCTGCTGGCATTGGGACAGACAAAGTTGATCATCAAGAATCTCGGCCACATGTAACACCGGAACATTGTCTTCTCATTGAAGGTAACAGCACACGTAAAGTGGAAATGATTCACGAACATTCGTCCATAATCGAAAAAACAACAATAATAACTATAAGGTTTTAATATTGCTGATATATATATATATATATATATATATATATATATATATATATATATATATATATATATATATATATATATACACATATATTATAGCTGTTATCACTGTTGATATTCACACCTCCACCTCTCAGAGATAGAGGTGTGCTCGCACTAATATTAAGATTTCTTACTCAAAAGAATCTTAATAAATAAACAAATCCACAAGGCCGTGATGAGGGTTCGAACCTACGCACGGGATGTTCCCTGATGCGCCTTAGTCAACTGTGCCACAACATGGTAAAAGACTTAATAAATATACCCAACATGTTGTCATTTCCTTACACTCAAGTTGGCCGCATCAGCAAGCACCATCTTCCTCCTCTAATTAGTTACTGCGTTCTCTTGATTTCCCATAACGTATAAAATAAAGAGTACCAAAACGCATGCATGAACCCAAGCCACTCACCTAACCTAAACAACCAACGCATAGAAAATATGAATATATGTGATCCGGTACGATAACAACCTGTCCTCTTAAAAATAACGTCGTTTGCCCGTATGGCCGAAAGTGGACGTAATTTGAAAATGAAAAACAAAATGAAAATAAATTTGGGATATTTTTTTCAACAAGGTAAGGGTCCTCTGGTAGGTTAGGTGGGTAGGAAATTATCACAAAGTTTCAAAACGTTATGAAAAACGTTAAATGAATGTTTGCTCTTCTAACCTGTCCGAATAAGCCGGGCGACTCAAACAGAAAACGGGACAGTACGTCACTTTTCTGAGTCGATTTCATTTCAAATTACGTCCACTTTTGTCCATAGCGCGCATACGAACGAAAAGCGATGTTATTTTTAACAGAACGGGTTGCAAGCACTCTTTATTTTGTACATAAGGGGTCATAGCATATAGAATGAGGCACATTAGAATGGTTTAAACTAGTACCATTAACGCCGGAATCATTATTTAATTGATTGATTGATTAATAATAAATCCTGTTGTCGGGATGCCTGACGCTTTATAGGCCTAGTTACCCCACTAGGCCAACTACTGACCTTTCACAGGATGCGACCCACAACAGTTGCCTATCTTCCGGGTATCTATTTACTCTGAAGTGAACAGATGCAATGGATGAAAGGAAACGTGACAGATCATTTGTGTCTGCCCTGGGATTGAGACGGGCCCCCTCCATTGTGAGTCAAGGACGGAGACCACTGCGCTACAGGAAGGTATAATGGGTTTTCCCAATTCAAATAATGATGATTTTATAATACATTCTTGCAGTGTATATTTGGAGGACGCACGACCCCAGCTGCGTACACGTGGATGACGCACGACCCCAGCTGCGTACACGTGGAGGACGTACGACCCCGGCTGCGTACACGTGGAGGACGCACGACCCCAGCTGCGTACACGTGGAGGACGCACGACCCCAGCTGCGTACACGTGGAGGATGTACATCCCCCGAAAGTGTACACGGCAAGGTCACACATTCACAGCTGCGTACACGTAAAACGACCCCCTCCTCCCCCCCTTCCCGAGGCGGGTCCCACGAACGGTACACCCCCCTCCCCGTTTCCCTTCCCAGTGGCGTACTCACGGAAGACACACATTCTCGGTAGCGTACACACTAAAGTCACACACCCCCCAGCTACGCACACAACACACACACACACACACACACACACACACACACACACACACACACACACACACACACACACACACACACACACACACACACACACACACACACACACACACACACACACACACACACACACATGACGCAGGCAAAATAACTAAGAAAAATGAAACAAAGTTGGTTATCCCTCGTTTGCTGGCACAATCGCCACGATATCATCTGGTCGTGGGGCATTATATGTAAATTGAGAGCCTGAAGGTCAAAGGGTTAAATATACCACCGGAGACCCCTCCAAACATAAATTTTCACGTAAGTTGTTATTACAGTAAGTGTGTGAGGTGGCTGTAAGTAGCAGGGGGGGGGGACTCTGTGGATATTTCCCCCTTACTTTGTGTCCTCTTAGTTCACAACCTTCCCTTGATAGTATACTGGACCTGTGCCCAATATTCACTATGTAAAGGGAACACTTAAGTAATATTTGGGATTTAATTATAGCATGTGCTTGTAAAAGTGCCTTAATCGTCAACTGTGGTTTGAGTGTTCAATAATTAACTTTATACTGTAATAGCCCTTTTACTGTGTCAAAGAAATAAGACAAGTTTTCCTGAATTCATATATTTTTCGATTTTTTTTTCTTATGAAATGATAAAGCTATTCATTTCATTGTGTATGAGTTAGGTTCTTTTAATTTCAGTTAGAACTAATGTTGATATATGACCGAACCTAACAAACCCTACCTAACCTAACCTAACCTATCATTACCTAAAGCTAACAAAGCAAAGTCAATAATTTATGTTCCTAACATAATATTATAATAATATTTCAAATAAACCAATTGGAAAGAATAATTTTAAAATAAAGAAAATCACTCGGCCTACTAGGCAAATCGGACCCAGGGCCGAGAAGTGCGTTCTGGCTACTAGGTACGACATACACACACACACACACACACACACACACACACACACACACACACACACACACACACACACACACACACACACACACACACACACACACACACACACACACACACACATATATATATATATATATATATATATATATATATATATATATATATATATATATATATATATATATATATATATTTATATATATATATTCTTTACTCCAGGGCTATGGGTTCCGTTCATCCAGCCTGTGGTGGGACTTTCTATATTAACGATAAATATTCTTCGCATGCCAATGAGGATATGAGTTGTATAGCAAACCAGATTTTAGCTGTGGCTTGTCCCGGTTATAATTTCCATATATTAGCATTTTCTAATCTAGCGTTTGTGGGTTCCGCGAGAAAACGCCTCGTAATATCTTAAATAAAAAGGAAACGACAATTACAGTAGTCGACATAACATATTATTAGGAACAACAAAAAAATCTGTCAAACTACAGTACTGAAACCCTCTTTAGAACAAGAGAAACTGAAACAAGAGCGCTGAATAAGTACATTATACCGCTGGAATATTGAAAAGGAAATATGTGTCGCCCGAACCCATTAAAAAAGTTCTGGGACGAGATACCATCAAGCGGAGTATATCACCCAACAGAACTGCTGTGCTCTACGTCAAAGCCGCTATGACAACGTGAGTCCTAACACTGTGGCAAAATGGTATTAACTCCTCATTCCTAACGGTATGGCAATGTAACATTATATAAACATTCTTAACACTCTGGCAATACAATATTGCATTCGTATTCTTAACAAACCTCACCCTAATATACCCAATCATTATGTCAATACAACATTACCTCCACATTACTAACAGTATGGCAGTATTATCCTCATCCTCCCTACAGTCTGGCTATATAGAATTACCTTCCCATTTGGCGAGTGTTTTTTTCAGTTGAACATACCAGAAGTGCAATTACGAGAGAACAGATGTTGCAATATAAGCAACAATGGAAATGGAACATATGACGAAAATGATGTTATCTTATCCGTCACCTGCATGGTAAGTATTGACAACTGTCGCTTGGGGAGAACATAATAAGAGAAAATATGTATGATATTACTTATTTTAGTAAAGGAAAAAAACGACATATTATTGAGCGTCAACGATAACAGATAAAAGTCAGTGATAATGATGAATATAGTTATGTGACTAAAACGTTATCGTGAATGACAGTTATATTATTCGTTACAATTGCTTAAAATGATAATATTGATAATGAATTTATAACAAAATAATTAATATCATTATAAGTGAGGTATGGAGAACTATACCAGTTATAGCAAAACTTACATAACTGCTTAGCTGACCTTACCAAGTTTCATTTAAGGATGGCAATTCATACTCAGCTATACACCATATACAACCCTACAAGTTGAGACGAAACCTAACCTCAAGCGCTGACACCCTTTCTCAATGACACACACACACTCCATGTTGACACCCTACACAATGGCACAGACATTATGCTGACACCCAATGCCATGCTATGCTGACACCCTACACAATGCCACACATTCCATGCTGACCTCCTGAGCAATGTCACTTACTCCATCTTGATACACAGCTCATTACTACACATTTTTTGTTTCATATTGACAATGTTTTTTAAACAAACTCCCTCCCCACCCCTCTTATCCCCCCTCTCATCTTTTTCTCACTCACCCATCTCTTCCTCGCATTCTTTCTCTTCTTCATCTGAACTCTGTATAGTATCACCCTGTCATCGCCCTCCTCTCTCTCTCTCTCTCTCTCTCTGTCTCTCTCTCTCTCTCTCTCTCTCTCTCTCTCTCTCTCTCTCTCTCTCTCTCTCTCTCTCTCTCTCTCTCTCTCTCTCTCTCTCTCTCTCTCTCTCTCTCTCTCTCTCTCTCTCTCTCTCTCTCTCTCTCTCTCTCTCTCTCTCTCTCTCTCTCTCTCTCTCTCTCTCTCTCTCTCTCTCTCTCTCTCTCTCTCTCTCTCTCTCTCTCTCTCTCTCTCTCTCTCTCTC